CTGTAATTATTGTCTATTTTTCATTGCAGTTTGGTGAACTTATTGTGTATCATTTCTTGGTGTTATTTTGTGATAAAGGGCCAAAATTTTAAAATTATTTGTGGTCCAATTCACTTATTTTTTCCGTTTGGTTCCTTACAAACACATTTTTAGTCTTGCTAGACAATAATACTTTCTTCTCTTTGCCTTTTCTTTTGGCAAAATTCTTTTTTTCTGCTGCGACTAATTGGTTGCAATGTGCCTTTTACTCAAAGGTTATTATAGAGCCAGATCAAGATACGCTCTTTCAGGACTTTGATATCTTTGACGGACATTTGGTGCTTTCTGTTTTGAATGAGGGGCTTCCATTGTTTTGTTCTATAGAGATGTCTAAGGTGGCAAATCACAAGGTATTCATTAAGTTTTTCCATTATTTATTTGACTCATTTTTGTCAGTGTCGTGCCTCATTATGAAATTCAACAGCAATTCTTGCATTAGTGTCAATGATGATGATAATGATCTTCTTTATTAGCTTGAGGTTATTATATGTTTTAATATCCAAGGAGCCTCATGTTCAAATTTATATTAGGGAAAACTGAAGAATTTATGGATTTGAATTTAGTGGAGTGGTTGATGCATCACCTTGCAAAGACACTGGAAATTTCTGAGGGGCCGTTTGGGATCACTTTTAATTTTATTTATTTATTTATTATTTTTTATATATTTTTATTTTAAATAAAATATATTTGGTATGTTATAGGGTGTTTAGTTGTTTTGAAAAACACTCAAAATAAGCTAATTTATTTTTAAAAATAAAAATAAAAACATACAGAAAATGTTTTTAAAATTTTATATTTTCAAAAAAAAAAAAAAAAAAAAAAAAAAAAAAAAAAAAAAAATAAACAAAAAATGAAATTTATCCCAAACAAACCCTAAAATACTGCTTTGGCCTGTTGTTCCCTTACCACTCTGGGATGCAGTATTGTAAATGAGCTGCAATTACCTGTCAGTCTTGAGCTCTCTTGTCTACGACCCTAGTAAAACATTGCTAGTTGCATGATAGTTGCTGAATGTCATATTTCTAATACCCTATGATTTATATATATTTTTTTCAAGTAATTGTTTTCTGCAAAACGGTAATTTGATTTTCGGTAATAGATCACTTTATCTTTCCTATTGCCATGGACATATGATATTCTCATCATTTGGAGTTTTCTTTCTCCTTTCTAACTGTTACTTTGGGCCTAATTCATCTATGGATGAACATGTTTCTTTTATCAAATTAGTCTTTAGAATGAATGTGCTCGACAACAAATTAATGATAACTCAGCATATTTTCTTTCCCAGGATCAGAAGCCAATGAAGATTGGGGACCTCAAGCCATGGTTTTTCCCACTGCCCTCTAGCTCATGCAGTATTGTGCCAGGTTCAAATCTTGATTTCATGTCATCAGTCTACCGCTTGGTGATCTCATCTCCAGTGGTAATGCTATTAGCCTTCTTTAGTTGTGCTTAATACATCTATTGTCTTTCTTGAAAACTATCATTGTTAATGTGATGCAATTATGCTAAAACTATTATAATTAAATTAAAGAACTTGTGTTACTAATGCTGATTAAATTTTACTACAAGAAATTCGAACACAGGGGATGTTATTTAGTTTTATTTTTGATGTTTAAGGAATAAACAACTCAGTAGAATAACAATAAACCTATTGTTGGCTTCTGCTTTGCAGTTAGTGCATAAAACTCCTTGAAAATGAAATGATTAGTATGGTTTATGGTATGTAGTATATGGCCCTGTTTTATATCACTCTTTTCAAGACAATATAAGGTACCATGATTCGATTTGGTTGTCATAAGCCTTTCATGATGCCTGGTTGGTTGCTCCATATCTGAGTTCATTTAACCCCTCCCTGTTGCTCATGTTTGTCACCACCAACGACTAGGTTGCATAATGCCTTTGATCTCCAAAATGGGGTCTAACGTTTTAAATCTCAGGAACAAAATAAAATTATATATATATATATAAGGAAAGCCCAAGGGCTAATATATTAAAGAGAAAATGATACAGATAGGTTGTATGAGTGGGCCCAAAAGTAGGCACCCAACCCACACGGTACAACACACACAAAAAACTCAATAAAAGAGGGTACATATAAGATTAAAAAAGAAAAAAACCCAAACTATCACGGTGCGGAAATAGTTAGGGACGACCCAATTTAGTGCTGCCTCTACCTTTGCCTCTAGTTCTTGGAAGAGAGCCAACTAACAAATTGGTGAGTTATGTATCATTACCCGAAGTAACCAAAGTATCATCCATTAAATTCCTTAGCTCAATTAGATCTCCATTCTTCTTCTTCCTCCTAGAAGAGAAGTGTCTTCCTCCTAGAAGTGTAAACATGCCATTCGTCATTCGAAGATTGATCATTCGGATGAGGTGGTGAAGCTGTAGCAGAAGGATTGCCAACCGTTGTACCCACAATAGTTTCTAGTATATCTGAAGTATGAGTTGTCGCTTCTACACCGGATACTTCCTGAAGATAGGGAGCTGCAAGGTTCTCCTGATTATCAGTCCGAACACTATTCTTTGTAGGTAAGGAACCTTCAGTATTGATTTCAAGAGGGTTTGAAGGTGTAGGTTGCTCAACAGAGCCATCCAACATCATATCAATCACAGAAACAATAAAAGTATTGTCAGGGGGGTCCACAGGAGCAATTAAATCAGTCACTAAATTCTGTCTTGTGGTAGTTTTCTCCCCAGTTGGAGCAGATATGTCCAGAGCTGTGGGGTTAGACCACTCCTTATTCACTTGAACTTTAGGTTTTAAATTAGGATGAAGCTTGTGACATTTATCAAGGGCATGCCCAAATGCCCAAACATCTTACACTTACAATGGGTATAATAAGGAGGTCTGTGTTTCATGATGATTTGTTACCAATATCCATTATGAGTTGTGCTCAGCCTGACTTCAGTAATATCAAGTAAAGTAATATCTCTTTTCACAAGTATTCTGGTCACAGAGGGTCTGGTTAGATTAAAACTGGGTAGATCTAGCTTCATAGGGTTCCCAAGTATGACCCCAATAAAGTAGAGAACCTGATGATTAAAAAAATGCAGCTTGAGACCAGATAGACTAAACCATACCGATACAGTAGGAGTTTCATTATTTAGGTCAAAGTCAGTAGACCACTTCAATAACCTTATTGACTTGCCTGTAATATTAAGATATTTTTTGGAGAAAATTCGGGTGCAGTCTTCAACCACAGTTAATTGAATCAATATATGTCGCCCATCCATGAGTTATACTTTCCACCTGTCTACTAGTTTGAGATCATCAACACTCTTTTTGATAACTTCCATATGTGGGTGCCCCCACTGAAATTTTTCAATGAGAGTGAACTTGAATTTTTCAGTCAGGGTTAAAATTTTTAAGTCAGAAAAAAAGATTGCAACTTTTTCCTCTACTTGCTTTCTTAACAAAAGGACAATCACCTATACCATCACGATAGTCCTTATAGCTTGAGGGGAAGACAATCGCCGACTTCACCTGAGAATTGCCCACCACGTGGGCACATGAGGCTTTGCCAAGTTCAGAAGGAGGGAGCACCATCAGAGCAGGGACCTCCTAGCCCGATATAATCAGAAATCGAAACTGGGATAGACGAAAGAAATGTCAACGCCTCTTTCTGCAAAGTCCCGAAAACTCGGAAGCAGGGAGAGGCGAACGTCCGACGAAGCTGTCGGCGTCGAAATCAAAGAATGACGCAGACGTGAGCCCCAGTCGGCGTCGAAGAAACCAGCGGAAGACGAAACAATCAAAATAGGAGAGCTTGGTTGCGCGAACCGTTCGTCGTCGAGCATGACGAAGCCCGAGTGAAAAAATGAATGAGTTAGTACAGAGTTTCGCCATCGGGCGAAACCCTAGCAGAGCAGCACGCCGACGCCGACTCCATATAAGAGAATATATATATATCTTAGATACATTGCTTTTTTCGAGAGAATCTTTGTACTACAAATGGTATGCAAAAAAAATGAAAAGAGTTCATAATAAATGATAAAATTCTAAAATATCTTGATTCACTTCATTTCTTCTTTACAAACTTCACAATTCAAATCCTTTATTGAATCAAATGCTTTCCAACCTCTAGCTTCGATTTAAATACTTATATTAATACAAAAATTTTCAATTAAAATAATTATTTCAAATAAAATAATAAACCTTAACCTTCATCGTCTTTGCTTCTTCACATCTTGTATGAAATCGGTGATTACAGTCTCTTTCCATAAAGTAAAAATTCTTCGATCTATAATTTAATTGAATTTAAACATTACCTTAGCTTAAATAGAAAAACCCTAACCTATTTACTGTGTCCAACTCTCCTTGTCTTAAAACTCAAATGCTCGTTCAAGTCAAATCACTCATTATAATTCCTAATATTTAATATTAACTTAATAATATTTTAATTGAAACAACATATATAAATAAAAGCATAAAATTTTACCTCCTCAATGGCTTGATTATGCTCCTCCCTAACCGATTGCATCCTTACTCGATTCCCTCTCCCCTACTGTTCGGTGACTTAGATGCACTTGAGTTGCCCTTTTTCTGTACGAAACATCTCCCCATCTTTTCTTCCTCTTCGCACACACTAGTCTTACCGTGCGTTTGACATAGCTACGCGACAGTAGACCGCAAGTATATGCATTTGAATAATGCCTTCTTTGGCAATCTAAACGACGTTAGGGGCCATTTCAATCTGCGGGTCACTATGTGCATTCCACTTTTTTTCCTCTGGGTTATTACTCCCTCTACCCTCTTACATTTTTGTTGTTCCCTCATTCTGCTCTTCCCTCACTCGAGCTTCTCTGCCCTAACTTCGAGCTTCTCTGTGCCACCCAATGAAGGATCCCATTCGAGGTACCTTCAATCTTTGCTGCATTTTTTGATATTGCTTGCATTTTTTGGGATTTTGTTTAGCTATGCATCAATGTTTTTTGCTTCGGTTTTTGCCATTGACTCTGCATTGGTTTGGAGCTCTTTGCCCTAATTTTTTCGTTGTTTTCTCTGTGTTAGTTTGCATTTGAGAGATATGTAGTGGTTTGAGTTTTTTTGTTGGCATGTGTTATCTGTCTATGAGTTGGTTCACATCTGGGAGATATTTTCTTCTCTTTTGTGGTTTGATCATGTCTATACCATTCGATCTCTCTGTTGGGAATGTAAAATCTATGAATTTGGCGAGTAGTGAATTATGATAGATGCTAGTTCATGCGTATTTTCTTGTTATGGTGGTTGTGTTCTGTGGGGGGATCTCTCTTTTCTTATTAGTGAATTATGGTGGATGTTTGTTATATGAAAGTTCTTGCTTGCTCTGTTGGTTCGATCAGTGGTATTTGTAGATTGACATACAAACTGAGCACACAATTCTTATGTGTTTAGATTAATATGAAGTTCGTAGATTGATGATAGTCGTATTTGACCCTATTTTGCCATTGAGGCATGAATTGCCTATGTTTTTTTATGTGGTAGTAGTATTTTTTTTTTGATGCGGTTTTACTGATTTGAAAGCTTCATGCTTATAAAGCTCAATATTTTGGGGCCTGATGTTTAGTAAACTAATTAGAATTGTGTGCTAGGCATGTAAAAAAAAGTTTTTTTTTTTATGAATCAACTATGTGGAGATGCTGTATGCTAGTTGAATATGTGGGGTTAGTGTATGCTAGCTGGAGGAACTTTTAGTCATGCTCTTTTTTCATGAGACGATGTTGAAACATTATAGGAAAGTGATGTTGGTGGATGGTAATATATTGTGGTCTTTGTGTGACAGAAATCAATACATATAATTTCAATTGAATGTAACGATTAATTAACATATATGCTATATCATTTTATTTTATAATATTTATATATTGTCACTTATTTTTCTTTCTCTCGTTAAAATTTGAGGTTTAAATGGGAAAGACAAGGAAAGTGAAGCTTCTGCAATGTGGGAAAGAGATACATAGATGATATTTTGTGATTTATGTTTAAAAGAATATGCCAATGATATGGTTTTCAACAAAGAGGAATGGAAGGACATAATAAAAAATTAAAAAAAAGAATTAGAAGAGAGTATGCAGGATGCACTTAAAGAATAAGTTGAATCATTTAAAGAAGGATTGAAAATTATTGAAAGAATTAAAGCGAGTAACTATAGGTCTTAGTTGGGACTTAGGATCACAAAAAATGGACTATTGATGCATCAAAACAATGGTGAAAGGAAAAATTAGAGGTGCAAATTGAATTTTCAGCTAGGCAATTCCACATAATTATATAAAAGAATGCTATAAATCAATTTTTATTATTTTCTGTCACGTATATGTTTTGTCAAATGCAAAAAAAATTAAATTTAGTGGCATGCAAAATTAGTAGAGAAACTAGACCCAATATTTGGCGTTGTTGCCACCGGTGATCAAGCATGAACCCCAAGTCAAAGACCGAGC